CCTCTTTCTTCTTCAGCTGCTGACACCTGTCAACTTCACTCCTTGGAGCAATTCCATCTTAAATTGTATTTCTTCTGGTCTCTTCCTTTCACTAAGTCAAGGAAGGAGAAAATGTATGAATTATGACATTTGAATGCACTGTGTCTTCATCAGTGAGAAGCAGTGGAACCAGAACTCCAGCATATTAGGATAACTGAGACTGTGTGGAAGCCCAGTGATCTCATCACAAGAAAGAGCTTAAGTAAATTCAGTGTCATCATTATTACAAAGTGCTAAGGATCTCTCCTTGACTCAGGATTAAGCAATAGCCCTCTGCAATCATGGACACTTCATAAGCAGTTGGGTAACATTAGACATGAATCTCTTATCTTACTGCAGTGAGCATATGTTTTTCTTTCCTATAATATGGTAATGTAGTAAGTCCCTGGTAATAGAGCCTCAAGTTCTTACTCAGAAGATTTAGCATCTTATTTACATAATAAGCAAGGAATTCTCCTTCATATCATGTCAACATATTAATGTATGTTTTTGTCACTTTCTCAACTATCATATGATATTGCTAAATACTTAGGAATAGAAATACAGAGCTTAATTTGAAATTATTTTATGTCTTTCCACCAGGTAAGTATTTACCAAAGCCTGTTTATTTCAAAGAGATACTTATGCTTTGTTTTGCCTATGATCTTTATTTTTACATTGTGCCTTTTAAAAAAACTCAGTAACTAAGCTAAATATGGCATATATTTTGTTATTCCTTCCATAGCATATGTTTTCTCTCTCTCTCACATCTTGGGGTTTTGTTGTGAATATACATGATCTTTGCTTGTCTCTTGGCAAAGATTAGAATATCTGGGATTGGTGCTAAATTCCAGGATTCAATATTTTAAGATCTTGGACTTGAAGTAGGAATGCATGCTATCCAAAATAAAGTATTTTCTGATCATAACAAAGGCCTCAGAATAGGAAAGAGAGAATTGTTGTTGTGGCTCATTAATTTCTTTGTTGTCACTCTTCCATGTAATTTCTTAGGCACAGGTCTGAAAGTGTTTTTTAATTTAAATCAATAGTTTAGAAAAAAGACAATTGAGTTAGACTTTCTATAATTCTAGCCTTCCTGTGTAGCACAAGGCTAAATTTATAATTTTTTTTCTTTCAATATTGTGAAGATGATTTGCTGGAAGATATCATTGGGCTCATTGACTGAAAATATTTTCGTAATTGTTTAAATGTAGGTGCTTTAAGGATTACTCCAACAAAGAGCTATTGACCATGTGGTTAATTTAATTAGGTTTCCCTGAAAATTCACAATCAAAATGGATCATATTAGATGGATGAATCTTACTAGAAGGATATATAGATAAATAATGACCTTGCATTTTATTAATATAGAGATATGATCTTGGAATCAAAGTGCTACAGATTTCTGAACTCAAACATCCCCTAGATGCTTTGCTGTGTCTTGAAAGTGATGAAATCTTGATGTAGGAGGACTTCAGAACAGGAGGCTTGAGCTCTATTCAGTAGTATGTACTCAGCAACCAAAGTCATTTTCCTTGGGTCCTCTCTTGCTCAAGGACATGGCTGCTGCATTTTGTATCTCTTCAACCTACCACTGAAAGTTTTGCTTCCTGTTCCCCCTCTCTCTAGTGGGCTTCCTTCTCTCTGCTGTCCTTGCTGGCCTCACACAACTGTGAATTGACTGCTTTGTCCTTTATAGAATCTGATCTTTCTTACCTGCCCAACTCCAAACATGCCATTCCTTTTATTCTTTATGTTTGAACCAATCCATCACCCCTGTCACAAGGCAACTTGTCTTTTTATGTAAGAAATAAACAGGCTGGGTGTGGTGGTGAATAACTGTAATCCCAGTGGCTCTGGAGGCTAAAGAAGGAGGATCGAAAGTTCAAAGACAGCCTCAGCAATGGTGAGGTGCTAAGCAACTCAGTGAGACCTTGTCTTTAAATAAAATACAAAAAATGGGACTAGGAATGTGGTTCAGTGGTTGAGTGATCCTGAGTTCAATCCCCAGTATCCTGGCCCCACCTGCACCCCCCCCCCCAAAAAAAATCCCTGCTTCTGTAATTAGTTCTATGGGGGCTCTTCAAAACCTCTCTTTACCTCTGCCTTTTCTTTTTGTGAGACTGGAAATAATGGATTGTGTGTGTGTGTGTGTGTGTGTGTGTGTGTGTGTGTGTGTTTTGTCTTTGGAACTTTGATGACTTTAGTTAAGTCATTTAAATTCATTCTGCTTCTATTTTGAGAAAAATACTAGTGTTATATCCCCAGTGAGTGTATCATGAAGATTAAATGAGATAATGCATATAAAATGTTTTAAACAGGGCTGCCACATTGATAAGGTTGTATAAAATATTTTTGGACTAAAGAAATATTTATATTCTCTGTACATAAGTGGCTGGATCTTTTTAAAGCTTTTCCATGTGCTCAGTTCACTCAGAATATGAATCTTTTAGGAAGGACTTATAGAACCCTCTAGATAATAGAGAATAATGAAAACTTTGTCATCTATTAGAATCTTTTAAGGAACATGGATTTCATCTCCATTCTTGGCTTTTCAAATTTCTATATCTTTTCAGATATGAGATGCTATCAAATTGTTGGTGGTTGTTGCTGTTAATGTAAATACCAGCTAAGTACAATGATTTTTGACACTTAGTGCCCGGCATGCAGTGAGCCTGGCATGCAGTGAGCACTCAACAAATATTGTTGTTACTATTTTTATTACAGCTGTTGTGTTATGTGTGATGTTTCTCTTTCCCCAAATTTAATGATTAAAATGCACTTAAAAATAAGGTAACAAATGCCTTTTAAAACATTTTAGGATACAATTATTAACTAAAGGTCAGTAATATTATAGAGATCCTTGTGTCTGTATCACTTAAAATTTACACTTTCATAGACATCCTGATATTTGAGATGAACTTTTAAAATTGTATAAGCTAACCAAAAGTGAAATAATCTTCTGAGATTTTTTATTAAAATTTTTTAGCACATCTGTGAACATTTTCTAAATAAATTACATAAATATTTAGAAATTCTCAAGAATAATTTGAAAAACATTAAAAACCATAATAAGTTCTGAAAAAGTTTTGACAGCTGCTTGTTGGATTCCTTTACATTTATATTTAAAAAATGAAAAACTTTATTCTAAAGGAAAAAGAAAATCTTGAGTAAAACCCTTGACCTTTTAAGTTTCCACAGGTATTTATTTAAAAAAAAAAAGGCCGGTTCTGCAGAGCAAGGTTTTTCATTGTGTGCTTATTGAAATTTATAGTAAAAAAATTAAAATGTATTAAGTTGGGGCTCAAAGATATTATTGAAAAATTAAAATGTATTAAGTTGGGGCTCAAAGATATTATTGCTAAGATTTCTTCATTTGGGAAATTCGTAAATGGTTCTTTGCACTCGATATTGATAACTGAGATTTGAGTTACAATTTAAAAAAAATAATTCAAAAAGGTCATTAATGTGGCCTTGGTCACAAGACCATTTTCCTAGACTTTTGAGATACTCTTCCTCCTTGAAAAATACTTTTATATTTTTGTACTGCTTAAGTTGGTTTTAGACTGTGATTGGAAGAATTTATTCATAACGTTTTGTATAAACATCCTGGCAGCGTCACACTCTCTAACTTGGCTTGTCATTTGCATCTCTCCCCTTGTTCCACATTTCCCCAAGGTGTGAGTCAGCGGACTGATACCGCCCCTGAATTTGGAGTGGGTAATTTAACCTAGTTCCCAAGAGTTGGGCGGGAACCTGAAACCCAGTAGTGAAACATGGGGGCGGGATGAACGCTCAGAGCTCAACCCCCCTCCAACTGATTGGATGGGGCCAAGTGGGTGGAACTTCCTGATCCTGCCCTGGAGATTCTGTCGCTAGGGACGCTTTGGCCAAGGCAACCGCGATGGATCAGGACGAGGCGTTGATGGCCGTGGACAATATTGTCACTCAGTTCAACACTTACGAAGATTTCCTAGACTCGCAGATCACTACCGTGGACTTGTACTACCTGGAGGTAAGGGCAGCGGCGCGGCAGAGTCCGCCTCCTTCGCGTCCCTAGGTCCCTCGACGATCGGACGCGTCGTGGGGGTGTTCGCCCCCTGGCGGTGGACCGCGCAAACGTCAGGCTCGGCGGCCGCGGGGTAGCCGCGGAGAACACCTGCCGAGGTGAGTCGCAGGTCCTGCCTGCCCTGCAGTGCCCTGTCCTGGCGGAACTTGGGCCTCTCGAGTCACCCAGCGCAGAAACTCGCGCGTGCACGTACGCATGCAGGGGACTCTTGAACTTCTGCATCTCGGCTTTCTGCCTCCTCCTGGCCCAGTCCCGTTCCAAAGTTACTTTGAGAAAGGTGGGTCGCCGAGAGTTTTAACTCAGAACAACGACCGTTTTGCTTTCCTTTGTTAAAGGAGCAGAAGACAGTATGTTTCCAGGACAACTGGCAACACCAACCTATTGCATTTGATATTATTTTGGGTATTTGGGTCCTTGAAACACCTGCTCCCCGCCTTACCGTCATCCCTACTAATCGCTGGTAGTTGTGCCGGTATATTCCTGTCTCTGTGTTATACAGTTGATAATCGCGATTAATGCTGATAGTAAAAATGCAAGGGGAAAAAAAGTGCGAAGCCGGACTTAATGGGTTACACTCTTCTGCCCAGCATCCCATCCACTCCCGCTAAAGGGAGGGTGGTGCAGGATACAGTTCCTGTCCCGAGCGAAGAAAACCCGGATGGGCGGGAAAATCATGGGCTGCACTAGGTCTTGTGAAGCTGGGAGGTGGCCAGTGAGTTCCTCAAACCCTAATCTATTCCTAGCCAGTCTTCCCCACCCCAACAGATTAAACGGGTAGTAAGGGGATTCGGCTGTCCTGGAAGTGATGCAGAACCGCCACCTCCCAATTAATGGCAGAGAAAACAAGCGCCACTATGTGGCGCCAAAGCACATCAAGTCTGGAAAAAACTTGACCCCTGTAATCAACTCTCCACATTTCAAATCTGGAATAAGGTAATTTTGCGCATTGAAATTTTTGGACTCTCCAATTCGGATGGGTGGAGTTTCACTTAAATGTGGACTACAGATTTGAAAAGTGCTTATCCTTCAAAACACATTCATTTGGTAGATATGAAAATAATTTTAAGGGAACAGAAACATCTAATTCTAGTACCTGTGCCCCGAACAAGTTGTGGGACACTTTGGACAAGTGATTTGTTCTTCCTGAAATTGTCTGTTTTAAAAATAAATCTAGGTGGGATTTCCAACACAACTCTTGGATTCATCAACAACTTTTAAATATTTTATATAGATAATATTTTAAAGTCTTGAAAGTCAGTTTTATGCCTTGCATCTGAGACACTGAAATGAAGGGCAAAAGAAATGCTTCTAAACAACGTCTGAATTCAAATTTTTGAATGTTTAAATAAACAGAAGTGAAATGTATACAATAATCAACTTGATAGAAAAAAAATCGTCTTTGTAGCATGTGTGGGACATTACTACACTTAAGCCTAGTATCATTGAGAAATGTTTCAGTGTTTTTTTTTAACTGTTAGTTTTTCATGAGAGCAAGAAACTAAAAATATTGTTATTTGGAGGGGAGAAATTAATACTTTGTATTTCATCAGTCAGAACTTTAAAGGTCTCCAAAATGGAGGATGCTAACTTGATTTGAGGAGAATGATAAATTTATTTTTAAGTTGGTATTGGTTAGCCATATGCTTATTGTACTTTTATAAAAAGTGAGATGAAGATTTAGTTGAACAGTGATACTAAGGCAGGAATATATGTATTAATTACAACTTTTAAAGTGCTATTAGCTCTATTTAAATTCTCAAATACTTTTTGTGGATGCAAGTTAATTGCCTACTTAGGACACACAGAAACAAGTGGACTCCTCAGAATTCCTTCAACTGTATGGGGAACATGTGTCATGAGTTATGGATTATGCTTTGTGAGGTAATCCTTGTCTCCCTCCCTCGTCAGCAATTGACTTTGGTTTAATGGGACAATTTTGAAAAACAATTAAAAAAAATCAACAAATGAAATTATATGTACTTATCATGTACAACGTGTTGTTCTGAACTATGTAGATGTCATAAAATAGCTAGAGCTAATTAACAAGTATTACCTCACATAATTATTATTTTTTGTGATTAAAGCACTTAAAATCGACTTTCTTAGCATTTTTCAAGAATACAGTTAGTACTATCTACTCCTTTATTGAGTAGTATATTCTCCCATTGCCAAATTTTCAGTTAGTTGCCATAAAAATTAGTAGCAATGATTCATTTAAAATTGCCATGTTATCTGTGCTGGATCCTGTGTCTGTGTTCCTGGCAGCTGATGTTGGTGGACATTAATCAGGCCCTTTGGCTTTAGGTAGGTTTCAGACAGCAGGAGATACCAGTAGGGGATCAGAGGCTGGGTGAGAGTGGTTAGAGGATTTATTCCCTGCCACCTCCCTATTGGCTGTGGTTTGGAATTGGCTGCATTCCTTATGTTTGGCCAGCCTCTCATTCCATCAGCTCCAGCACTCTTTCCAGGGTCTGGCAGCACTTCCCTGTTCTAGATATTGCTTCCTCTCCCATCTTCTTTTTTGCCTAGTGGTGTTAATGGCTTTCCACTGTTGCTAACCCAAGGATGCTTTATCAGTCCATGCTGATTTTCATGAATTCTGTTCATCTTTTTGTAAGTAAATTCTTTTATTTTTAAAAATTTTCCCTTTTCAGTTTGCCAGCTCTTTGCTGCTGTGAACCTGACCTCTTTGTAATCATTTAACTTCTCAGACAATGATAAGTATACAAATACACTTATCATTGTGAATATAATAAGTACTATGTGGCTTTTTTTTAGCGCAAGAGAGAATTTTTTAAATATTTATTTTTTAGTTTTTGGTGGACACAACATCTTTATTTTATTTTTATGTGGTGCTGAGGATCGAACCCAGTGCCCCGTGCATGCCAGGCGAGCGTGCTACTGCTTGGGCCACATCCTCAGCCCCAAGTACTATGTTTTTAATATGATACTTGGTCAGAAAAAAATCAGGGGGAAAATACAGACTGACACAGGTTGATTATGTGATGAGCTGGAGGATGGGAAAGGAGATTCAGGAAGATAAAAGAAGCTCTTTATTTAATGCAGACCATGCTTTGCTTGTTTTACTAGATAGCAATAAAATATTCAAAGAACTTTATCACAATATCAGCAATTAGGCTTATCTTTGCTAACCCAAATAACAATATTTGTTCTGGAAATTAGTATTATCTAACCCAATTAAACTAATCCCTTAAATCAATATACAAATAGTTGAAAAGCTTTGGCAAAATTATTATATTACAATTTTCCAAGTTCTTTCTTGGTAATCTTTCCATTTGACTAAACATAGTCCCTTCATTTCAGTGTCTGCCTCTGACCACTGGAAAAATATTAGTCCTAGGTGAATTTCTTTTCTCAGGTAAGGGATACAGGGATGTTATAGAATTATTTTAAAATTTCCCAGACAGTTGGTTTCCACTCATGATTAAATCATTTATTGTTTTAGTTAAAGCATTATCTTTTAATTATTTAGAGAATAAAATCTTTTGTATATAACCTTAAAATTATTTAGCAGATATTGATTTGGCAAAACTCTAAGGAAAATGCAGTAACATAATTTATCATGATTATGTGATAAGCCAAACTAACAATCATCCATTGTATTTTTCCATTTTTATTGCACCAAAATACTGTTCCCTATGAAAAATCTTAATTCATATACATTTAGAATCATGTACAGTCTTTTGTTTATCCACTGGGGAAAAACTGGGATTTACATTAGCTTCTCTCCATTTAAGAAAAATCTTAAATTTTTCCTTCAGTAAGTTCATAGCAGTACTTTCCTCTGTGTAAAAATATCTAATTTCCTCATGCATATGAGTTCTTTTGATTAGAGGCGAAGTAACCAAGAATATTGTATTCTCAATACTTCTAAAACCTTATCATAATGGTAAAGTTAAAATATTAAGAACCTGATGACCTCCTCAGTGTCTCAGTTTGTATCGCAAACAGTTCCCAAACATCTATATTCTGTGTATTTACAGCAAGTTCTATTCAACTTTTATTTACATTGACTTCAGAAGCTACAGGTAGGATGAGTGGAAGTAGGAAGGATTCACAAGTAGAGTATGCAGAGTGAGACAAGAATGGGGCTTATGACAAAACGTGGAAGAACGACCATTATTTGAGGCATGAACATGGAAATGGCATGCACAAAGGAGAAGGAGAAGGAGGGGGTCAGAAAAGTGGGAGAAAATCAAGGAGACCAGGATGATCCAGAAGCCAAGAGCAGTTGGAGAGCAAAATTTACACAAAAATAAGGGAGTGTTATTCCTGAGAATCTGAACATAAAGGCAGATGGAAATAACCCTCCATAGCTATAACTACTGGAAGGCATCAGCATCCATGCAGGAGAAAAGCCAAACAAAACAATGGGAATCTAAAGGGTCCCAAACCAAGAAAGCTGCCAAAAGGACAATAAGGATTCAGTGAAAGGACAGTGGTACCATTTGAGAAGAGCAGCTGACTCTGAAGGGACTTTGGCCATTCCATCCATAGATGAGTGCAGAGGTTCCCAGATGCATATAAACAAGATGGATAGTCTGCTGCCCTGGGAGCTTTTGAAACTACCTCCCCTTTTGGTTGGTGCTCTACAGTGCTGAAGGGCTGCTAGGAGTGGAATCAATATTGAGAAGGATACAGATAGTAGAGAGAAAATTTGAAAGAGGAGGCTGAGGTAAAAGTGAGAGAATAAAAGAATTTAAAAAAGAAAAGAAAATATCAGAAAGCAAGTGCCATATTTTGAAGGAATATATTGAAACAAAATGAAAGCAAAGTTCTGTGAGCCATATCTTCTGAAAGTTCAGTGAAACTGGAAATGATCTATAAAGAAGCATTGAGGTCAAAGCTCATTTAAAATTACTGTGAGAATGAGAAGCAGAATAACATCCTCTAGACAAAGGAAGCAGATCATAAAGACCCGTGTA